ACTGTTGTTCACACTGCAGTTTAGACATAGGAGAGACTGTTGTTCACGTTGTTTACAATGACAGCTAGGGTACTATGTTGAATAGACTGGAGGAAGGAACATAATTCTATATATGCCTAAGGGAATAGTCAGTGATAGAAGAGGCTGTTTTCTATGTAACTAACTCTGATTTAGTCTGCCTTGTTTACCAGTGAGACTGGCTACCCACTCATTTTGGGTTCCAATTAGCAACTTGCCACTGGTGGGTCCCAGCAGATACAAGGGATATTGTTACTGGCAAATTCCTACATTAAACAAAGCATCAGAAACGATGACATTCTGGCTTCCTATGGGCAGAAAGTCTGATTCTGCAGTATATGTCACTTCAGTCTCCCATAAGTAGAATGTAAGCACCATGCAGCAGGAATTTTTGTCTGCTCTGTCTATTGCTCAAAATTCCCAGTGCCTAGAATACTGTCCACATATATAGCAGTCAGTAAGCAAATGCTTGTTAAATGTGCAAATGTCTTTCTAAGGACCTTAAGTAAGACTCTTTTATGTGTCTCACATAGTAAAAAGTGGGTCTGGATGGCACTGATGACCATTCTAGATTGGTAGCCTTTGGTTTCCATTTAAACAACAAGTTACCATTTCTAAAGGTCTTTGTAGGCCAAGAGGTACAAGAAAGAGACTTTTATGGGGATAAAGGGCAAGGGTGAGTAAGGGCAAACCCGAGAAATGAAGAATCACAGGTAACCTCTAGGGCCAGCAACCAGCTCACTCTCTGGAAATTGTGCATTGTCTTCTTTGACTCACAGCATTCTAATGAATGGGCTAAGTTAACCAGAGACTCGGCTTCTACGACAGCATGAATCACCTAAGCATGATGCCTTTGCTTCAACAAAATGCTCACAGATGCCCCACTGCAAAGCTCCCTTGTGAAACACAGTACAAGTAACAGCAAAGACTCCACTTGAGGATATCGAAAATACATTTGTTTTTAATTTTGATTAATTTCACAAGTGACAACATTAACAGTTCTTTAAGCATATGGTTCCATTGAGTCACATTACCATGTGTCCCCAGAAGACTAAGAGGCAGTGGTTTCATATCCCCTTGAAGTTTAACAGAGTTGTCAACATCAGCAGGGTGGTTTATGGGGACAAGATTTGCTACCAGATAAGCCAGAACCATGCTGTCATGTTTATTGGATACAGAATCACACACAACACAATGCACAATAGGCAACTATAATGAGTTTACTCTGCACTTAGCTTTAGTTCCTGTCAAAGGGAGAAGGGTTTTTGATACCAAGAAGGATGCAGATGTGTGTCTTCCATCAGCCTTTCTTACACATGACTTTAATTATACATGAAAAGAATTAGAGTTTATCTTTATTGTGTAACCTAGAAGGAAAAAAAAGAATAAAGTTTAGATATTCATTGTCAAGCTCTTGACATTATTCCATTTAGTTTTCTATTAATACTAGGAGGTACTTTCTGTTGATGTCCCTAGTTTATAAAGGGGGAAAACTGAGACTCCGTGAGAGTTAAGTGATCGTCCAATGGTTATATACCCAGTAGAGAACCAATACAGTTCGTAAACCTACAGCTTCTCTTACATTGTAGTGTATACTAAAAGGATAAGGCCATTGGCTTTCAAACCCATATGGTAGAATATTCTCAATTACAGTGATGGAAATATGGGTTCTGTATCTCCTAGTCCTAGAGCGCAGCATCACAGGAGAGAGCAGAGAAGCAGGACAAGCAGGCAGGGAGAAGGAAAGGTTAGGGAGAGGGAGTAAATAAAACAGTAAGATGGGATATGATCCATGGGCTGTATGACTTATATCCCTGAGATATGTGAGCATCCATTTTCCTACCAGTTATATGAGGAAGTCACCTTCATTCTGGGGCTATTATCTATTCAGGCCTGAAGGTCCCTGCGGCGGCGGCCAAAGGCTTCAGAGCCCACATTGGTGGGCACAAAGTTGTCCTTCACTACACCTCCCGATCTGCTTAGCAAGCCTGCCAGCCGATGGGTCACACAGGTGGCAGTGTTGCAGGATCTCTTCTGGGCAGTGACACTGATATTCAGGATGGGGAAAGGGGATGAGAGAGAGAGAGAGAGAGAGAGAGAGAGAGAGAGAGAGAGAGAGAGATTGATTGTCATTGAGGTTGGGAGGTGTCTGCCCCATGGGACTATCATGGGGATATTGCTGCTCTCAGAAGCACCAATTAGCTTTAAGTGTTTCTCCCAAACATGGTTATCAGGACAGACAATCACAAGGCCGTTAGGGGAAATGCTGAGATCACTTCCCTTCGACATCCCCAGAGGCATTCGAAATCCCAAATGGGGTTTGGGTTTACTGGCCATGGAACACCGAGCTGTAACCACCAACCATGCCCATATAAATACAAATAAGCAAGGATTTATAAGTCTAGAATGAATTGTGATGCCACCTCTGAGTCCATTCGCATGGACTCATATCCCAGTCAGACACAAGTGACCCTCCTTAGTAAAGTGAAACCACCCCAGTCTTACCTGAAGGAAGAATGGAGTTTGGAGCATCCAGTCCCAGTAGTGTTTACCTGCTCCTTGTCGCCTCTCTTCTTACTGCTTGAGCTGAGTCATGGGCATCACTCACCAAGCTATGACTGCTTAACCTTAGGGCTAAGACTATTCCTCACCACAGGTCTTAAACTCCATAAAGTCTGAGATGTGAGCTAGATCAATGACCACCATGGCTCAAGTCTTTTTAGAAAAATAGTTTTATTTCCCAAACAACCCACACTTTCAGAAGCAAGACTGAGAAGCTCTACTAGGAAGTCAGATGACTGCCCTTGCTATCCGCCATCTCCCTGGGCGATTCTCTTTTGGCCTTTGGGCCCTTTCTCTTCACTCACTGGTGATTCCAGATACCATCCTTTGCCTCAGGAAAGCAACCAGTAATAGCCTGGAGAGCAACCAGAGAGGACCTACATGCATCAAGTTATAGGAAGAAAGCAAGAAGGAAACTAGAAGGAGAGGAGGAACTTAGTTGCCAAAATGGGGATGGTGGTTTGTCTCCAAGTCCTTGGCCATATCCCTTTTCTTTCCAGGTGCTCCAACCCCAATTGAAGTTTGGGGGAAGGTGTGAAACTTGTTGAGGTCTTGTGTGTATGTGCCCAGCATGCAGGTACTCAGATTCCCACACCGCTTAGATCTGGGACTGTCCAAGCTGCAGGGAAAAGACATGCGAGGCAGTGCCATGCACCAGGGCTGACCCTGTGGGCAGTCAGCAGGTTAAACCAGTCACAGGTCTAGAAGTTGGGATGGGGTGGTAGGAGGTTGGTTCACACATACACTATTGGGAAGGCTTGGGATGCGATAAGCCAGGAGAATATGGGGAAGGGCAGAGGAAAAGGGTGACTTTTTCTGGCATTCCATGTACTCTTCTATCTTTCATGCTTGGCAGGGTGTTCCTCAGGGTGGATGTAGGTTAACACATGCTTTCCCTTGGGTAGTGCAGGAGCCGGGCCAGGGTTGGTCTGCTTCTAAGCTGGGGCACACAGGCAGGCAGGGATGGGGGGTGTGTGCTCTCCTTGGCCCTATGACCACAATGACATCTTTGCAGACTTTAGGCTTTACCACTCTTAACTCATACTATGCCAGGAGCTCTCCCCAGTGTTAGCAGACTAGTTTCTACAGTTATTCCAAACCTTCTCTTAAGTGCTTTCGGAAACAAATCTTTTAAGTGTGGTTTAACCACAGTCTTACCAGACGATTTCTGTCTTCTTTGGAGCCTGAGAATAGCTGAGACCCTGTGTTCTGCTAAACAGCAACCAGATGAGCAGTGCGTTCTCTCCTACCTTCTGGATTCTGCCTTCCTGTGGATGTGCTAGGCAGGGTAAGGGGCCTTACCTAGAGCCTTCAGCCTCTTGTTCCTCCTCCTGCTCCAGCTCTCTGGCTTTTATCTGTATATAGTCCTGCACCAGTGCAGCCAGCAGGCGAGCTTCTTCTTCACTGAGAGTGGCCATGCCTGGGCTGCTTTCCAAGATTGACCTGTGGAGGGGAAGCAAGTCTAATACCAACTCTGATTCCCTGCCTGCCGCTTACACTAGATGCTCGAGTCAGTGTCCTCACCAGTTTAGGAATTTTGCAAGTTAAATGTTAAGTGCAGCCATAATTGAATGACAAAATAATTAGTGTTGAATCTGAAATGGGAGCTTATTTTAATAAATACAGTGTGTAAGTAGACGAGAAATAGATTAGCCGATTACAAATTAGAGTCAGCAGTAATTATTGGCAAGTTAGCAAAGTAGAGTAAAATTCATGTCTTATAAGGAGTGAATTGAACAAGAAGGTTTAACTATTGATACTAAATATGGGGGTGGGGCAAAGTAACCAAATCATTTTGTTAGTTAAAAGGCTACTTGAAATTTATGTACATCCTGTCTTTGTTTGGAAATTGTATATTTCCATCTTTATATCAAAAAAGTTTGTAGTGAACTTACATGTGTGTACATGTATATATTTTCCACAAGAGAGTTGGTTTTTAAGCATTCTGTACCCTGTAGTTAACAGATAGGAAGTTGGCCAGTGCCAGGACAGTAGGACTCCTGTCTTTACACGTACCTCAGAGGCACTGCTTGGAGGCTGCATGCCTGGTAGAGGAGCAAGATGCTGACAATCAGAAAAGGGGAGAACTTCAGAAAGCCCATGATGCCTCCCTGCAAGAGAAGAATGGCTATTTATTTATTTATTTATTTTTTATTTGTACCAGTTCAAAGTTCTATAAGCCCTTGGACTTGGCTTTCTGTGTGCTTCTGCCTGTGACTCCCTGACATTTTGGCTTCATACTGATAACTAAATTTCTCATCATCTTTGTTCTCTCATTGACAGAGAAGACTCTAAAGTCCAGTGGGCATGTAGCCTATACAATTTGGAAAGAATCTTAGCCCTACAGATGGATGAGGGTGGTGGTGGGTAAATTGTTGATCAGTCTCAAGGATTCTATGAGTCCTAGGCTTCTCCTGTCTCTACATCTATCTCCGCAGGGAAGCGTAGAGTTGTCTTCCCTTCGTGAGGCTTTTGCAGACACCTAAGAATGTGAGAAAGAACGACCATGGAGAGGGAACTTCTGCCTTGAAATCTGTGAGACTGATGGCTGCACTGCTCAGCTGCTCCACCCTCTGGCAATTCAGTTGCCTACAAGAACCTGTCTAAAGTTCAGGCTTAAAACATTTTTCTGTAATCCCGGGGTCCTGAATCGGGGCTTGCAATTGCTGCTGCTGGCTCTTGTTCGCTACATATTAGTGCTTGGCTCCGACCCTGGACCAATTTCTCAGGAAACGAGAATGCGGAAAGCACCATCTAAGGAGAGCTACTCCCGACTTCCGTGCGTGATGCCTAGGAGCTCAGAGTCCCAAGATTGGTGGGTCAGGTGTGCAGAGAGAAAGGTGAGATTGGAGCCTGCGCTCCAGCCAAACTGGAGGAAGGCTCTGCGGACCAGTTCTGTCGGGATCTATCTGGATTGGGATCTGGCACGAACCACCACGACTAGGGCTAACGGAGACCGGCACTGGAAAGGAAGACAAACTAAGGACTATCAGCGAGAGCGGGAGAGAGGAGAGGGAGAGGGAGAGGAAGAGGAAGAGGAAGAGAAAAGTAGAACAGCACACCTGAGCAGAGCTCACCTGGTGAACGGTGACTTGGAGCTGAGACTGCGGGGTCCTGATGGAGCCAGGCGGTGGTTGCGAAGCGGTGACTCTTAATCTGGGCAGTGGCTCCTGTGCCTCCCAGATCCTGCAGCTGCTCTTATTCCCGCCGCGGTGAGTTGGGAGGGGTCCCGGGGTGCCAGGCAGCCAATAGGTGGAAGGGCCCCGGGCCCCAGACAGATTGCGTCACCTCGGTGCTTCCAGAACTCAGAGGATATAGCAAGATGACACCATTTGAATTTGAATTGAGGTCAATGATGGAAGTAGGGGTGGGGAGTGGGGATCAATGAGAGCCACCCTTAAAATTAGCGGGAATTTGGAAGGCCTTTTGACGTCAAGGTAAATTTCATCTCTTCTTTCCCTCTTGACTTTGAACATCCTAGACTCCAATCTCTGGATCTTGGAGAGCAGAGTCCAGTATCTCAAGCACTCCTTTGCTGCATGTCTGATTCTAATCCTACCCCCACCCCCATCCCCACCCCAGTCCGTACCTAATTTAGAAGAGTTTAGTGCCCCTTAGGAATGGATTCTTGATCTGCAAGGCTAGCTTTGGCAGCATGGCACAGGTTTAGGCTGATAGTCAGAGGTGTTGGTGCTGGACACAAGGACTTTGTTAGATCTGAGCCTTGTTGCAGCTGCCTCATTGCAGGTTATGTGACCACAGGTAAAAACAAAAACGAAAAAATATCTGCAAAATCTGCCCCCTCAAGCCTCCCCAAAAACCTGCATGAAACCTTAACATATTACACTTTTCAGTGGGTACCGTAGTCTCGCTTTGAAGGGTCTGCTAGTAGACAGAAACCTTGATGTTTTCTGGGCTATAAAATCTCTCGTTCTCCAGTGTGAATCATCTGTATTCAGCTTGGCATTCTTAATGTGCTGGATAACTCACTCACATGTGTGAGAAGGGGTTGTATTCAACTGGGTCCTGCTTGGGGTATGGGGTACAGGGTAATGGGGAAAGTATAAGGAAGGACCAGATGCCTCCAAAATCTCCACTGTGGTTCTCTCCCCACTCTGCCTGGCTATCTATCACTTCTCATTAGGCTGCCTGTCTGCCTAAGGATTTGCACAGCTGCTCCTTTGCTTCCTGCTGCTGTTTGCCAAGATGTCCCAATTGTATTTGATCCGGTGGCCCCTCCTACCCCCACCCTTAGATACCCGAGCTAAAGAGCAGGCAAACTTGACAGTGCGTGGAGATGCTGCCCATACTAAACCTCCCACTTGCTACCAGTCACACTTCTCCTGGCACAGAAACTCTCCTCTCTTTCTAAAAAGGTATCTTTTTTAGAAAACACAGCCACTCAGCAGTCTCTGTGGCCCATGGAAGCATCCTTAGTGGTTCATTTTCAAATTGTCCCAAGCCTACCTTCAAGTTCCTCCTGCAGTTCATGCCACATTCCTGCAGGATATTTGCTTGGATCCCCATCTCACATCAGATCAGTTGAACTTGATCCCTCTCATAACCACTCCCCTGATTTAGACACTCTGCCTGAGCAGTGAGCTCCAGGAGCACCTACAGGGGTGGAGGTCCTAACTTGGGCATTTGCTGTATGGGGGCAAAGAAGCTTTTTGTTTCTGCAGTTGGTGAGGTCGGAGTGTGCAATGCTACATGCAGCAGCCAGTCCAGACCTAGTCAGTGTGGCGAGCACATTGGAGAATCTGGGAACCGTGGGGAGGGGGAATACAAGAAGGCTTTGTATTTTCCTAAACAGAGCAGAAATTAGCTTCCAAGAGGGACTGAATGGCATGAGCCACGGAACTCCAGGTGTTGGTCCTACCGACATCCCAGATATTTGTCCCTAGAAGCAGAGTGATGGAACCCTTAACTTCCAGGATGACATCAATGACTTTCCAGCTTAACTTCTGGGGCAGCTACCTTAAGATTATAAAAACTTGTGGAAAAGAGTGGCAGGGATCCCTTTCCACAGGGCCTGCTCTCAGAGTGGCAACAAGATCCATCCAGGGCTGGGAAAATGGGCTTGGGCAGATAGTGGCTGGCGGGAAATCAGAGCTGGAAGAATTCTATTGACACCAGGTTTAGGATTCCCAGGCACAGTGATCCCTGGAACCTGGAGGCAGACACACAGAATTGGTCTTCCTGGCTTTCCAGCAGTTTAGTTCTGAGATCTGGCCTGCATTTTTGTGAGCAATTATGAGACAAGTTGGAGACAAATTGGCGAGGGCTGAAATGTCAGTGGCGAGCAGCGCTTGAGTCATTGCCACTTGGGACTGATGCACAAAATCTTTTTTGTGTGTGTGCTCAGGTGCCAAGTGCACCTGGGGAATTGACTTCTTCCTTCAACTCCAAAGATGTCTAATATATGGAATCCTGAAATCATTTTTTAAACAAATGGATTCCTATAAGCATTTCTTAAGGGGAGAGCTCATGGCTTTAACCCATACAGTGCTGACCATTGGTTTTCTGGCAGTGTCACTGGGTGAGTTTGAGCTCTGCTCCTAGGCTTTGTTCCTTCAGACCTCTGAGCGAACCCTGATTCCACACCATAAAACTTGTAGCTGTAAGGCATCACATCCAGAGGGCGCTGCTGTCATCTGCTGCAGTTGATAATTGAAAGCCTTGGAAGAGTGGGTCTCTAGGAAGAGAAACCCATGTTTCTCTTTGATTTTGTAGTAAGTGCCTAGAAGCACAGCTAAAGGGTTGGGAAGGGTATAGTTTCTTTATTTGACAACTAGGACCTTACCCTGCACACTAGTAGGCTTTCTACCAATGTCAAACAATGTGCAGATCAATTCTTTTTAGAAAATTCAGTGCTCAGTGCTTCCAAGTCACTTGCAAACTTCAGGGCTCAGTTAAACCACATCCTGCTACCCTTCCAAATTTAGGAGCGCAAAGTCTTCTGCCTCAGTCTTCCCCTTCCCTCGATAATGTTTACAGAACCAAGACCAGGAAGTATGAGTCTTCCTGGTTCAAAATGAAAAACTGTCCTGCTCCCAGCTACATGCGTTTACAGAGAGTTGGGTGGTTAGACCTCTGCCTGGGCAGATCTCTGAGATCCCCCCCCATCCCCCAGTTTTCTGGAAAGCTGTAAGGGAAAGTGCTGATCTCAAAATAGTAGCTTGGCCAGGTAGCTCTTTTATGATTGGTCATTTAAAATTTTTTTAAATGTAGAAATCATCTAATTTTGAAACACTCTAGCTTGGAAAAGGACTGTTTTACAACATTCCAGTAAATACAAACTGTGATATTTATTCTCATTCATTTAAGTCAGATTCCTGCATGTTCTGATTTTGAAATAAAATTATAGACCACATCTTATAGAAAAACCTTTTGCATGTGATCAAAAGATTTACATGAAGTATAGTAAAAGCTTAACTGAGCCATTCAGTAGTGAGTAAACAGATGCTAAGTAGAGAGAATACAAAGCCTGAGAGCTCAGAGCCCACATTAAAGATACAAAGCCCTCTGCAGTCTGTATGCAATATAGACTCAACAACAAAATCACAGCCACCCCAGTGTAGCAGCCATCACAGGAGAATCACGTTCTTTCTGCCCTGGCAAATGTTTGGGACTGTCAAACAAACTGCAGAAGTTTGGTTGTACAGGTTTAAAATAGCAGAAACCAAAGCTTTGGTCACTGGATTCACTGAAGAACAGAACTGATTTTGAATGTTAAATGGTAATCATTGTAGAGTGTCTATGTATATAAAAACCTCATTTTGTGTATCTTTAAAAATAAAACACTTATGGAAGCATAAAAACACTTAGAGGGAAAAAAGAGAAGTGAACCATGGTCTTATGTGGAGGTCTTCAGAGCAGATGGGTTTGTATAAACATTAGAGAGGATGCCATTGTTTTGTTAACAACCTAAATATAAGTCAGATAAAACATGTTGCATGTGTGGTAAGCATAAATGTAATATAAAATACATTGAAGTAGAAAAAAAGACAAAATGTTATAAATATTCAAACTTGAGCCAATGGGACGGATCATGGGTAAAAGTGATCACTGTGCCATCCTAATGAGCTCATTTTAGTTCCTATAACTGTGGTAAAGGGAAGAATTATTTTTGAAAATTGTCCTCTAGCTTCTATGTGTGCAGTATAACATATGCACACCTATACTCACTCACTCATAACAAATAAAATAAAAATATTGAAACTACATTCAATTCCATCTGTGTGCCACAAACTGTATGATCTTTCATATTCTCAGCAGCTTTGTAAAGATGACTGTTATTGTCTATTTTTAAAAAAGGAATATCAAAGGTGTTTGGATTGAATTAATTATATTTCCTAGGTTTCGTCTGAGTACTTCCAATGCTAAAGCATGGCTTATTAGTTTGCTATATCAGGCAGGAGGTCTGGGCCCTTGGATCTAGGGACAGACTCAGAAGGAGATGCAGTTATGTCTCCCTTCCTTAGGGCTAATGTGATTTGTGGTGAGAGGCTCAATGACCAGGCATAAATCATTTATAGTTCCTGAACCAACATTTAGGAGATTGACAGTTTTACAGCAAGAAAGTAAATATTGATGCTACCATTTACGATAAATAAGTTGCTGAAGGATAAAACCCAAGTTAGAGTCATAACAATACTCACAGAATAAATTTAAATACTTCAAAGATCACTTAACTTCCCATGTTTAGTATGACATGTCGCTTCACCTTGCCTGAAATTCTTAATGATTTCATGGAATGATTGGTTTGGCCAGTGGAGGTCATATGTTTGTTGAGGGCAAAGTTAGTAGAAAGTGCTAGAAGTTAGGAGACAGGGTTCTTTATTCCTACTCCCACTTAAAAGGAGATGATGGAGCTAGTCCAGTTTCCGCATTTGATTTATGTCTATGTTGGATTGAGAGTCTCAAATTCCCATCTGATTCTGACATTGTATAAATGGGCTGAGAACTTCTTACCATCTTCCTAGTACTTTCTTGGGTTTCTTTTGTTTGCCCCTTCTTGATAAAATTGTCTTGTGAAGGGAGCTGGAGACATGGCTCAGTAGTTAAGAGCACTGGCTGCTCTTCCAGAGAACCTGGATTCAATCCCCAGCACTTACATGGAAGCTTATAACAGTCTGCAACTACAGTCCCATAGGGATCCAAACCCTCTTCTGGCCTCCATGGGTACAGTGTAACTGTGATTCACAGACACACGT